CTAAAGATAAATGCAAACATAATGTAAAGTTTTTCGCATATTAAAAGAAGATCATGCAAAGTAAAGAAAAAATATTATTGAACCGACAGAAAGCTGATCTTTTTTAGTCTCAGGTGTGGTAACACAGGTTTGGGTGTCAGGCTGAGAAGGAGAAAATGATGCTGATGATGATGGTGAGTCATTAGAGCCCAGCAGCTTGAAGGAGGTGTTATCAGTGCTTGAGCGGAGTAGACGTACTCGAAGACCTTGGTTAGACTTGTGCTTATTTGAACGAGATAGGTTACTATTTGCCTCATCAATGCAGCCCTTGTCATTGGCGATATCAAGAGGTAAGCTATCGCGAACATCTATTTTTTCAGCACTGTAAATAACTGACTGGGTCGATTCGTCCTGTTTAAAAAAAGATCAAAACTCATGAAAATCAAGCTAGAAAGCATAATGTATAATGGCGCATTTAGGTTTCTATAAGCAAACTAACCAAGCTCAGTTATATTGACCTTTTGATACAAATAATCGAACAATATCTGTATTTTTACTCTTAAATGCATTAAACTGTCATTACAAAAACCATTTGGCAGTCAAAACGAAGATTACTTCATCGAGGGTATTAAGACGAAGATGGAGTGGTCTCTATTATGGTGACAAACTCCTTTCCTTGTATATAAGTGGTTCGATTTCGTTTTCACTATTTAGACGTACTGTCATGAAGACAATAGTTGACCACAACTTTCCCGGAGTCGCCTGTCGTAGTAGCCATGATAATGTACAAAATCCTCAGTCTGATGCTGGGAATATGCAGTGAGTTAGCCTGATTTATCCATTAAATTTCACTTAGACGTGCTTCCTAAAATGCATTTTTATCCGGGGTGGGCTGGGGTTACGACCTAATGGTATAAAAATCTACTTATTATTAATATAAGTAACGTGGCCGATTGTAGAGGCAAAATAAAACCAAAAAGATTATTAAGATCATATATGAAGAGAAGCTGGGTTTCGAAGAGTCTCTTAGTAGATTGATGCCGGTATACATTTCATTTAGTGTGAAAATGCGGGTGAAAGGGATACGTAAAATGGCTTTACCAGGTACCAAAGGATGATCGCCTTGGATTCTTCAGAGAAGACCTCGGATCATCATCCTGCGACCCCGATGAATCCCTGCTGAGCTTTCGCCAGCCAACTTTTTTGGTGGCTATTATTAACTGAGGGTTTCTGGTTCTGATGGTGTCCGTCAAGTGGCGAATGAAAGCTTAGTGCAGATTCACCGAAGTCGCACGACGATGAGCCAAGTCCTCTTTCGAACAATCTGGCAAGGCCAATGCGACAAGTCACAAG